ATCTCTTCTTGATAAGTATGCCTATACGAATCTTTGATGCAATTTTTTTTTTGTTTCCAGAGTCATTATAGATGAATATATGTTTGGTCGATCGGCTCATGTGGTGAAATGATTTCATGACATTCAACTTGGGTACTTGTTCTTCTCTTTCACTCCTCTTCACCCATACAATGTTTTGGCTCAAACTACTTCAACTTCTTTTTTTCCTTAATCTTCTCGGTCTTCAACCTCTGCTTGCGGTTTTCCTACAAGGATAAACCAAAGTCGGTAGTAAAACCAACCAACCAGAATCTCCTTGAGACAGTTTGGAGGATATTATAAAGACTTACCTCTGATTGCGCATCTTCTTTCTCAGGAAACTCACTTGAAAGGCTCTCTTGTTCCTCTAAAAGAAACTCTTCTTCTAAGTGTTTCCGAAATTTGAAGAAGATGTCAATCTCATTGGGAGGGAAGTGAGTAAACCTATACAACTGCTTAGAAAAGGAAAAGAGTGAGGAAGATACCATGTGATGAATACGAGGCACGGGAAGATAAGATAAGGTCATGCTTACCAGGTTGTAATGATCAAGTCCATAGAGATGCTCCTTGAAATCATAATAGGTATCGGCCCCAAACTGGCATTGTATGCAAAACCAGAGATGTTGCCCTGCGCACTTGTGCTCGAGCATCTGGCTGGTGGGTGTCTTGAGAAGAGGAGACTCTATATATGGATGGAAAAAAGAGAAATTAATTTAAGAAATTATAACTTGCTAAGAGATGAGATTAATGGCCACCTTCCAGTATGGTTTTCCAGCGCCATTCTTCAGAAGAAGAAGAACGTGGATACGCGGGAATAACATAGTATCGTCCACTGATACCATTCACAAGATAATCATGAAGATCTAAATCAGTAAAAGGGTCTTCGGATATGAGCATGAAAGTAGCCGGAGGTGGATTGTAAACTTGCCAAAAAAATATTTCTTGATCAAGATCTGGAAAATAACAAGATTAATTAACCTGTTGAAAAGAAAAAAAAAAAAATGATAAGAAGATTAACTGGAGAATTCCGAATGTCTCATAAAGATTCCAGAGGAAGAGAGGGCTTTGCGGTCGCCTGGAGTTATATTCATTAGGTTGCCGAAGGCAAAGATCGAGACATCTTGATCAACTTCAAAAGACAAAAAACAAGACTTGTTCAAAGCCGATTCTATACTCGGACGGACACAGCGAGGGTCATAACCAGGAGGAATCGGACAGCTGTTGATGTCCCACCATACAGCCTTCTTCTGAGGCACCTTCTTGAATCTCTCACGGCCTAAAACAAGAAAACAAATCGGAGTTAGGTCTCTAATCTTCTTTCCCAAACAACATATTAAAGAGTAATTGGCACAACACAAACGACCTACCTTTTCCCATACCCAATCTGCAATCTACGGAGAGAAAGGAGATCTTTAGTTTTAGGGTTTCAAATCTGCAATCTATCGGTCGACGGAGATCTACCTTTGCCCTTTTTAAGATTGAGGATTTTTGGGATTTAATGTTTTTAAAAGCCTTTTATAAATGACATTTTTGTCAAAATATATTTCAAATGTGACATTTTTACAATTCTCCCCTTCATAATAAATTATTTTATCCACATCACACCTCTTAGAAATAAGATTTTACAATAAAACGACACACTTTGTATTTTAGAGTTCAAAGAAAACTATTTGATTAAAAATAATTTATACCTTTTCTTGTTCATCTCTAATGTTTTTTTCACCATCATTTTCTTTTGGTTTTTCTTTCTAATCTCATTTAGATTTTCTATCCTTTTTTCTTTTCATTTCTTCTAAGTAGAATTATGATTAAGAAAGATGAGAAATAGTAATGCTGAAAACAGATTGGAAATTAAAAATTTTGTAGCTAGTAAAATTTGGATTGTAGTAATTCCATTAGTTACTATTTTTAATTCAGTTTAAAAACAAAACTAATGAATTTTTACCTATAAAAAGTTATATTACTTGAGATACATGATGGGAAAACATAAAGCACTCATTGCTTGGTCAAATTCCATCAAACTTCATGTCTTTACGTATTTACTTTTGTCAAATCTTATATAATATTTTTAAGATTTTTCTATGCTAAAGTTATAAGAAGATGCCAAATATTAAATTGTAATATACGGATGACCAATGTCAGTTTTTTTCTTTCTTTGATATACACAAAAAATTATAAATTCCAAATTAAATGTGTTATTGTAAACTTTTAACTGTTTGAAAATATATATTTTATTTATTAAACCCAAAAATATATTATACAAAAGTATTTAAAACTTTAGATAGATAACTACGATTTTAAAACAAAAAATCACAAAACGCTTTAATAAAAAGAATCGTAATATTTACCAAAACAAATGGTGTGAAAAAATTAATTAGTAAAAATTGTGAATTCAAAAAAATATAATAATTCACAAATGAATTGATGTTAATGATAAAAATCCTAGAGAAACTTAGATAAAAAAAATACAATCAAACATCAATTATTATTTCTTTACAATTTAATGTTCTAACGATATAAAACATAAAGATGCATTCCAACACCTATGTTGAGATAATGCAAATGTCTCCATAGAAGCAAAACATAAAAAAACTTGTCTGATCAATTTTTTTTTTACAGACGTATTTGATGAAAGAAAAAAGATGACAAATCATTTTTTAGGGAATCGTAGTGAATATTGATAAACTACACATACGAAGTTGTGGATTTGTGCAAAAGTAGATATCTTTCATATGCTGATATGCATACACTGTAATTTTTAATAATAAAAATAAAATTATTTTTACATATAACATATAAGAACAACTTACTCAATATGCTTAGTCTTCTAATTTAAATAACTATTTAGCATTGTCACAAAAAAAGATAATTATTGAGTACAACAATATTTTTGTATACTATTATATATGCAAATAATCAATAATGTATAAATATTGCATATTTTATCAAGTTAATTTTGAAATTCACGCAACGCGTGACAATCTACTTGTATATAAAAGCACTACAGGTCTCTCCCAAAGATAGCACATCAGCACATAAAAATTGACACGTATACAAAAAGAAAAAACCTTCAACCTTCCTTTTGACAAACTGCGAATCAAACCGACGTATCGATGGAATGCTCCACCTCTTCACGTATACAAAACATTCATCTTGGTTGAGTGATTATTTAGCGTTGGTTGAGTGAACGCTTTAGACAAATTCCGCTTCTCTGATTTTTGTGTTTCGGCAAGCTAAGCGTTAGTTGAGGAGTGAGCGGGGTTAGTACTCGACAAATTAGCATCCAGTTCGGATCCGCAATGACAGAGATTCTCGAAATTTAGCCAGCCAAGGACGAGCTTCATTCATGGGTAAATGGCGCTCTCATTGACTCATTTCCTGATCAAGAGTGAATGCGGTGGCCTGAATTGCTGAGGATCCGAAATCGTTTGGGTCAAGGAAGTTGAGCAGTCACAAAGGTAACATCCGTCGCAGAAAGAGAATGAAAGGTAGGAGAAATATGAGGGAGAGAACAAAAACAAAATACAGACGCGGAGTAATCAGAAAGGCGTCTGAGAAAAAAGGTACAAACAGTACCATTATTCACCACCTTCTGAATCAGATTGTAGAGGCCTTTCACTTGGCTTCTATTGACAAAATTGATATCTTGTTACGTTTCTAAACTTTGAAAAAATGTTTGTAAAATGTATTTATGCTAAGTCTGATGTTACCAAGGGAGACATGCATGGATGGTGTCCTCGAGTTTTATCTATGTCTGATGAGCTCATTGTGTTATCATTCTTCCATTCTGAGTATTTTATTATTATGCATTGATGATATTGTTTGGGTCCTTAAGTTATGTTTTGTTAAAGGTTCATGCCTTTGCTAGATTCAACTTGTGATATTTGAGTTAGTTGGATTATTTTCCTGCGTTTATTCTCCTGATCAAGTCATTACTCTTTCAACGCTCTCTTACAGTCTCCGAACTCTTTCCTTTCTTTATTTCAGGTTTCCCCGATGTATCCGCAGCCATATCGTACATGGCCATACTCAATTCGTCTATATCCTTTTCTTCGGTTTAGTTTTGCACCATTTCGAAGGTCTGTATCCTTTCATCATCTTGCTTCATCACTCAAAATGCTTTGGCATGTAGCTGATAAGAACAAAAGTAGTATGGATAAGGCGAAGAAGTCGTTGGAGTAGTATAATTATAGGATCTTACCCATTGTGATTTCTCATTTACATATGACATACCTCGGCATTTTGTGCTTAGACTTGTAGTTGTTTGATTACTCAAAAAGATATGTTTAACTTCAAGAACGATCTGTAGCTCTATCCCAAACTTTCAGTTTGTACTTTTTTGGCAGGTTACAAAGGTATTTAAGAAATGTTTCTCTCACAAATACATTGTCACTTGCAGATAAATATAGAGAACGAAATAGGTGAAGAACAAATTCAAGATCTTGAGGACTTCTTAAGCCTTCTAATTAGTTATCTGGTGAGTTGTTCATAAATTTCTCTTTGTCAAATCGTTTTTATTCTTCTTCTAAAATCACCTCGATCAGATAATCTTTTGGAGGCACAACTGTGTCAATGTTTATCTTGATGGAAAGATCAGTGGCAAACCAAAAGAGGCAGTAATTTTGTTTTTAAGTTCCCAATTATTCTATGCGGAGTTGCTAGAGAAAATTGAGACATTTACCATTCTCTAGTTTTCCATTTTTGTCCCCGATTGTTGGTTCATTTTGGCTAATGAAGAATTTAGTTGTTGACGTAACTGATGCATATTGTTTAGGTTCCAAGACCACGAGCATATGTAGGAGGAAACATGAAACATGGACTTTGAAGGTGGTAGTAATGTGGGATTACCAGTATGGGATAGTTTTGCAGTTTCTCCTTGGAAACCCAAGAAATAAGAGACGATTGGTTTCCTAAAACCAACTGAGAACAAAAAGCGATGATGTCTCTGTTTTAAAAGTATTCAAAAGATCGAGAGAGATCCAATGATGTTGCCTTCTTGTGTCTCTTTCATGTCATGTCCCTACAAAAATGAGACCGAAGAGCATCAGGTATGATAGGAGAACCAAAAAGTAATGCGTCGGAAACAGACTTTGTGAGAAACCACATTCGTCAGAGCTTTCAGGACTTTATCTTATGGCCACTAGGAGAGGATTTATCTACTGGTTTAGACACGCGTCCAGATCGCGTTTTATAGGGTGGTGTAGTGCTGGAAGTGTTAATTTCTCCCACATAAGGTTCTCCTACAGAAGGTTCACCATCCTGAAAATTCAATTGTTGGAGTTCTTCAACCAATGCGTCTGACCGATCAACCACATCTTCGTCCAGTGTTTGAGCATTGTCCAGCGTCTCATCAAACTCAACTTCTATGTCTAGGTCATCCACATCAAAGTCAACTTCCTAGCCTGAAACTCAACCAATGCGTCTGACCGATCATCACCCACAGTTTTGTCTAATATCTCATCAAACTTAACTTTCTGGACAAAATTGTGGGTGATGATCGGTCAGACGCATTGGTTGAGTTTCAGGGCCAGAAAGTTGAGTTTGATGTGGATGATCTAGACAGAGAAGTTGAGTTTGATGAGATGCTGGACAAGGCTCAAACGCTGGACGAAGATGTGGGTGATCGGTCAGACGCATTGGTTGAGTTTCAGGGCCAGAAAGTTGAGTTTGATGTGGATGATCTAGACAGAGAAGTTGAGTTTGATGAGATGCTGGACAAGGCTCAAACGCTGGACGAAGATGTGGGTGATCGGTCAGACGCATTGGTTGAGTTTCAGGGCCAGAAAGTTGAGTTTGATGTGGATGATCTAGACAGAGAAGTTGAGTTTGATGAGATGCTGGACAAGGCTCAAACGCTGGACGAAGATGTGGGTGATCGGTCAGACGCATTGGTTGAAGAACTCCAACAATTGAATTTTCAGGATGGTGAACCTTCTGTAGGAGAACCTTCTGTGGGAGAAATTAACACTTCCAGCACTGGACCACCCTATAAAACGCGATCTGGACGCGTGTCTAAACTTGTAGATAAATTCTCTCCTAGTAGCCGTAAGACAAAGTCTCGAAAGCTCTGACCAAGGTGGTTTCTCACAAAATCTGTTTCAGACGCATTACTTTTTTGGTTATCCTGTCATACTTTGATGCTCTTCGATCTCATTTTTGTAAGGACATGACATGAAAGAGACACAAGAAGGCAACATCATTAGATCTCTCTCGATCTTTTGAATATTTTTAAAACAGAGACATCATCGCTTTTTGTTCTCTGTTGGTTTTATAAGATATAGAGTCAAAGAAGATATATATGTGGTAACTTTTGGATGACTTTTGCTCTAGGAAAGTATCGCAATTGAGTTTCTTTTCCAGAGCTTATTCTTGTTAGGTTTCCAAACCATTCAAATCGTTGTTGGTTACAAGGTTCTTCCAATCTTCAGTTTCAAAGGGATGTTGTTATTAAGCGACATTTAAATTTCCTTCTGTTAACACTATTGAATGGTCTTTCTCAATGCATAAACGAAAAGCTCTTGAATTTCAAACAGCGATTATTCTTTGTATATAGTGATAATTTTTGGTGACACAAATACCACTAAACGAGGAAAAACCTATACAAACCTTTGATTTTAGTGTAGTACTGCATCCCGATTTCTCTTCAGAATTGATTCAAGACCTTAGTCCTCTTGGTGAAAACGATGCTATGATTCTCAGGCTACGTGAGTTGTATCACAAGATTGCAAATTTTCTCTTATACTCTTCTTTAATGCAAATATATCATCAGAGACTGCACAACTAAAATTAGTGAACCGGTTTGAATTTTTTTCTGCTTTTGTTGCATCTTGATAGCAGCACAATCTATTTTCTCTGTTAAGGGAATCCATCCAAAGGGAATTCATCCAATGTCTATAGGAACCAAAAATTTAAAATATTTTTATGGGTATTGTTGTGAATCAGTATTATGTTGTTCTGAACTATTAATTCTATCTTCAAATCAGCGACCAATAAATCATTATCAATCGACCATCCGACGAACTAATAAAAACAATTTAAAATCTTAAACCGGTTCAAAATTACCTTAAACCGATTCAAAATTATAAGTTCAGAAACTTATAGGGTTTATAAAAATTAATTTTGATTAATGACTAAAACTTACAGTTTTCAAATGCATTATTTAGTTAAGAATGATGTATCGTTCCTCCCAACTGATTTTTAAATTTATTTACTACTAATTTAGTTACGACTTACGAGCATGACACCTTCCTCCCACTACGACGGAGAGATCGATCTCAGTATTTTTACCCAAATAACAAAAATTATTATGTAAAAATACTTTTTTACTGTAACTAAATTACAAACAAAGTTAAAACATTACATTAAGAGAATTTTTTCCAATTTATAGTTTAGATTTTTTCCATTAAACATAAGTTTTGATATATTTTGATGTTGAATTTGTGCTATTTTAGAAATTTAAAATTAGTGGTCATATTTTTGAAACAAAAACTTAAAATATGGTATTTTGAAATCCTCTTAAAATTAAAATTGTTGATCTATTAACTTATTAAAAATTACTTACAATATATAGATTTATTTTTAATTATTATACTAAAAATTTTCAAAATACATAATGAATCAAATAAATTAATATAATCTACTTTTGAAACAAACTAAGTGAGATTGATGTTATCAAATATTATTGCTTAAAAAAGTTTATTGAAAAATTCAAAGGTGTTTAAGTTGTGGAATCCTTGTAAAAATTCATGTTCTAACATAATTTTATGTGTTTTCTAAAGTTATTTTTGTCTAAAGATGGTTTAATTACCATTTATAAGCATTTATTATTAAAAACTAAATAGAAAATAAAAAGAAATTTAGATAATAGT